AAAGTGCATATTCGATTCATGTTCCCTTGGTATGTTTCTGTGTAATACCCTTAAACTGGACACTTAATGAGACTYGTGTTAGTTTAGAATGTTCACAGCTAGTGGGTCGGTCTGGGGAGACCTATCCTGACAAGGCTGACACTGTGGTGCCACTAACTCGGTTGGGGTGGCCTATCTCAGCAGCCAGGGTGAGACCCTAAAATCCCCGGGAATCCTTCCTTTCCATCTTCTCAGGTTCCGTCCGTTGCCAACGAGGAGCCAGTCAGCAGCCAGCTAGGAGTGCCCGGATCGTGCCGCATCAGGTTCCATCACTCCATTCACTTTATTTAAATGCATATCCATATATATTTTAAGTGAAGGATGGGGTATACAGTCACAGTGTAGTTAAAACGTCCTCCAGGTGTTTTTGAGGCTCATTGCCTAGATGACCAACTAGGTAGTTGGTATAAATAAAAACATTTATTAGGGGTAAGTAATTATTTCCTTTTACATTTTAATATGAGGGTGTGTAACCTAATTTATTTTTTCCATGGGCATGGTTCAACATATTGATACACCCTTGGGTTCCTGAAAACACCTATAAACAGGTGTATCGGGTACCCAAAGATACAATACGACACAATATGGGGCATATCATATTGATATTTGAACCTTGGTTATGGGTATATAAAAGACCATTACCCAATATTGATCCTAGCTATTTGGGTCTTGGGAGGGGTGGACTGGATACACAAAGTGCTAGAGGTGTGTAGAAGTCTAAAAATTGTGGCTATTAATCACTATGCATATGTGTGTTCCACTGCTGTTAATAAATTCTTTCTATTTCCCTGAAAATCAGGTGTTAAGTGATTTAAATTTGTAGTTTAATAGTTTATAATCAACAATTAATTACATAATACTTGTTTACAATTATATATATATACATATTATAGAATATGTGTATATATGGGTCATTGTTTGGTGAAATGGTAGAATATTAGGCTGATAAGTGTAATAACACATTTGTGTCTGAGAGAGGCTTCTTCATGCAAAAAAAAGTGCCAGAGTTAAGGTCTGTGTCCAGTCCACCCTTCCCAAGTAGTTGGGACTATCATTTGATAGTGACCTTTTACATTATAGAATATGTTTATATTTTTTATTATATTTTTCACTTAGGCGACAACAAGTTGTTGCGTAGTGTTGACTCATCTTTCCAGGAAAAAGCAACCAGGCGTTGCCTCTCTTAACTATATAGGTGGTAAGAATGATATTGAATATTGATAATAACTTAATGTGGAGTAACTTGATCAACATCTCATGGTATGAGCCATATCTAGCTATAAAATTCTTTCTCTTGCTACTCTTTTCCTTGACCCTGAACACTGAATCAGTGATTATCAGTTAACATTTCCAGTCTTGTTTGCTAATCTTACTATCAACAAACATAACTCAAGAACATATTTATAGAAGAATATGGCAAGACAACAAGGAAGTAAAGAGTTCAAGAAGTGCAAGGATGTTAAGATGAGGGAGAATCATGAATTATTGCCTAAGAACAATTGGTCATTCAGAATTTTTTTATATATGTTTCAAAGCTTGAATGCTCACCCCCTTTGGTAGCTTCCTGATACTTTAAGTTTTGTACAGAAAAGTCTCAAATAGAAAAAAAAAGGATAAGGAAGTTTAGATAATAATTCCTGTAGCATTTGACAAGAACTCTTAATTTTTTATATTGTATATTGAGGTCAACGATCAATAACTACTGTCACCTTTTCCCAAATAGGAGCCTTGATGGTTGTTTCACTGAAAGTCATTTCCTGTGCAATTAATTACAACGATGGGCTATTGAAAGAAGAGGGTCTACGTGTGGCACAAAAGAAAAATCGGTTGCTCAAGTTACCTACTCTTGTAGAGTACTTTGGTTATTGCCTTTGCTGTGGGAGTCACTTTGCTGGACCAGTTTATGAAATGAAGGATTATATTGAATGGACAGAAAGGAAAGGGGTAGGTTTAGCATTTAGGAGCTCACTTCTGTTCATTTGAATGCTTTCTTTACTTGAACTAATAAAATTGGAACTATTGTAACCTCCACCTGCACAGATTTGGAGCCAGTCTATGAACAAACCATTACCATCTCCTTATGGTGCAGCAATTAAAGCTCTAGTTCAAGCTGCAATATGCATGGTCCTGTATTTATATCTGGTGCCACGTTTTCCAGTATCCCGGTTTACTGATCCCATATATCATGAATGGGGATTCTGGAAACGGCTGGTTTACCAGTATTTATGTGGCTTTACAACACGCTGGAAGTATTATTATATCTGGTCAATATCAGAGGCATCTCTTATTATATCTGGTCTTGGATTCAGTGGTTGGTCAGATTCTTCTCCATCAAATCCGCTTTGGGATCGTGCAAAAAATATTGATATCATTGGTGTTGAGTTGGCAAAGAGTGCTGTTGAGTTGCCGCTTGTATGGAACATCCATGTCAGCACCTGGCTACGTCATTGTAAGTGTCTACTGCTACATCATAGCATGGTAACCATCAAGTTAAAGATATGGGAATATTCTCAAACCAGAATGACAATGTCTTGAATCTCTTGATAATATTATTTGATTTGGAGCAAATATATTTATATGTTTCTGTATCTGTGTGTGTGGATGCATTTTTATGCTGAGGATGTTCTTGGTTGTTTGCTCAGTTGCCTAATTTTTAATGATTGATAAATCTTTCACCCCAGACATCAATTAAATATATATTAAATTATTAATGAAATGGATATCTTAGAACATGCATCCAGTGCAAATTTTTTATTATGGCCTCAAAGACACATGGCCATGATTGGAGTCACTAATCGAAGATGAAGAATTACTAAAATATGGTTACAAATTGAAATATCCTATCATTCGTACCCCTTCCAGAAAAAAGGAAAAGAAAAAAGGGCTTCCTATCTTTCGTATCCAATACAGACATGTAAACATAAGCAGCTAATATATATTCCTACACATTCATATATGGACTTTTTTGTGTGCAAAAATGTTGACTTCGTCAGATTCCAGCACCAAGCAATCTTTGACTTCTCCTTGCTTGTAACATGCTTGGATGGTCACCAAAGAGAAATTACCTTTTACTTTTCTTGTTGCTAGTTATGTTCCATATATTGGTACCACTTTATTTCATGATCACATTCATAAACATGTACTGGTAATTCAAGACTACAGAGCAGTCAGCAAAATCTAGTTAATTGGTTGTGCTCTTTTTTTGGCATATATAATTGACATTTTCTGCTTGTCATTTTAGATGTTTATGAAAGACTTGTTGAAAAGGGAAAGAAACCTGGTTTCGCTCAACTGCTGGCAACACAAACTGTTAGTGCTGTTTGGCATGTAAGTATGTTTCTCCACCATACCTTGTGATCCTTTTTTTTTTCCTTTATTGGCCTTTTTATCTTGTGATCTTCCATCAATTGATGATGGATTTAGTTATTCTCCCCTAGCCGACTGTTTAAACTGTACTTAGTTTTCTATTTCCTGGAAGTTAGTTTTGCAAAATCAGTAGTTTCTATCACTACACTAACAGGGCATTATAAGATTTCTTGCTTACGATAGTTTTCTAAATTTGTAAACTGTGCCGATCTTATTGATTGCTTTTCAACCGTTGATTTTCAGGTTGAAGATCTAAAATATGTTATTTAAAACCTACACATTGAGGGAGTAGGGTGGGGAACACATAGGGTTCGGATAACTTTGTCTGTCAATTATTCTCAGATCTCATTATTGTGAAAATGTTTAAGTTTCATGAGTGATTCTTCATCTTTGTCAAGTAATCTGTCTATAACTTTGTGATTTTGTTGTGAGAACAATCATGTAACTTATTTCCCGCCCTGTATGTTTTTACTTGGACAAAGTACAAAAAGAGGATGATAGTTGTTGTCCTATTTCCTTTTGTCTTTCATGTGAACATTCTTAGACAACATGATTGCTGGTTATCATAGGGAGGTTCATTAAAATGAAATGTCTATTTTCATCTTTTATGTATGATTATATGCTGCATCCAACTTCCATTTCCTGTGCTTATAGGGAATTATAGGATTCCTTGTTTAAAGTTGGCTTCTGAATTTGTTATTATGGGCCAGTCCAATTGAATACATGGAGCAATGAGGTGTTTAAAATAAATACCTTTTTTTTTCAGTAGCCTCTATTCTCAATTGTAAGACTGAAAATACCATTGGACCATAATATTTGAATATTAATGGTGATTGCCAATAATATGCATGTAGCTGATGCCATATAGTTGGGATGGTGATGATGATTGCTGACTGCCATGCTAAGCCAAGTCCTTATGAACTAAACTATCAATTTGAAGCTGCAGATTAAATATCTGAGAATTTCATAGATGCACACACAGGAAAGGGGGGCACATGGGGCTCAATTTACTTTATTTTGATCTATTATTTGCAGGCCCTATTGTTGTGAAAATGCTTTTGAAGTTAAATGAATGATTCTTTATCTTTGTCATTGCCAAGAAATATCTGTCTACCTTTTTGACTTTGTTGGAGAATGTTTCTGTTTACCCATTTCTTTCCCTGCTTGTTTTTCCTTACCTCAGTCAATAAGTGCAAAGAGGGTAATAGTTGGTATCCTGTTTCATTTTATATCTCATGAAATCATGCTTAGACCATATCATTGATGGTGATTATAGGAAATTTTATCAAATGAAATGTGTCTATACCTTTGTGACTTTGTTGGATAATATGCTTCTGTAACCCATTTCTGCCCTGCTTGTTTTTCCTTACTTTGATCAACAAGTGCAAAGAAGGTAATAGTTGGTATCCTGTTTCCTTTTATGTCTCATGTAATCATTCTTAGACCACACCATTAATGGTGATTATAGGAAATTTCATTCAAATGATGTCTGTTTTTGTCTTATAACGATGACTATGCTGCAACCAACTTCTGTTTCTGTTTCTCTCAAATTGCAGGGACTGTATCCTGGATATATCATATTCTTTGTTCAGTCAGTATTGATGGTAGCGGCTTCAAGAGGTACTCTTCAAATTATGCCTTATTATTTGTGGAATTCTGTTTATCATTTCTTGATTTCCTTCTTTTTGTCTTTGAGCAGTTATCTATAGATGGCAACGAGCTCTTCCTCGGAACATGGACCTAGTTAAGAAGATACTGGTGTTTATGAACTTTACTTGTACATTATTGAGTTTGAACTATTCCTGCGTTGCTTTCCTGGTTGGTTCATATCTACTCGTTTTAGCTTTGAATTTGGAATTTCCAGGATTAGAATTTACATTTGCTTCATTAAATTCTGTTTTGACGTTTTGTACTTCATTACCAAGGTGTTGAGCATGCACGAGACAATCACTTCATATGGGAGTGTTTATTACGTTGGAACAGTTATTCCCATTATACTGATACTCCTGGGTTGCATCTTCAAACCAAAACCTTCCAGGTATAAAGACCAGAAAGAGCAATGAGATGGTAACTACATGTTTTTATTCTGCTCAACACTGCTGGAAAAGGAGTGGTAGCATCCCCCCCCAAACCCTCTCTTCATGTTTGGTAAATTGTAATATTTTTCTTAGTTAAGAAAGAACTGCATTGGCATCCAATGTTTAACCTTACTCCAACATGTTTGGCTCGCGATTTGCTTTACAATTATTTCAACTTTTATTGTTGGTTATTTTGTTTTTCTCTAATCATGAATTGATAGATGTTGAACACTTTTAAACTGCTCATGGCAGCCAGCCAGCCACATTTCTTTGCTAAAGTTTATATTCCATTGATGGGGATATGATGGAATCCTATAGCATTGCAGTTGGTATACATGGTTCACATTGCCCAATTGAAATATCCTGCCAGATCAACTGCCCTATATATATATATATATATATATATATATATATATATATAAAATAAGAAGAGATTCTCTTCCATCTTAAGCAGATAAATTCCTCCGATATCAAAAGGAGAATAGTATACTTATTGCTGTTTCTGCTTTTGATTTGTGGGCAAAAAAGTAGATGTCCAGAAAAATTATTTGGAAAAATTACTTAAACCTCCTGTGGGTTATCTGACAATCACTTAAACCTCTCATGGGTTTTGATCCTAGCAAAAACCTCCCTTCAAGGACTATGATCATGTAATGCTTTAAATTTTTAAGCATTATGTGGGAAAAAGTGGGAAAAAAATTTAATGCATCATTTCTTTCATTTTCTGTCAGGAAAGTTAAGGGAAGAGAGGTTTTGCTAGAGTCAAAACCAGGGGAGGTTTAAGTAATTTTCCTAAACTACTTTTGGTTTTGATTCTGAGGAAGTGATGGCGAGCATGCTTCGGGATCTTGGTTACCAATATAAACGGAATCTGTTGTTGCTGGATCCCAAATAAGGATCCAACTTGCAGCATGTAAATACAGACTTCACAATGTATTTAGACATGAATCTGCATTTTCATTCTCAAAAGTGCAGTCCTATTGGGGATTCAGCAATGGCTCCCACTTATAAGGCTCACAAATACATATATGTACAGTGCAAATACATAGTTTAGAAATTAGTATGCGTGAGAGTGAATGGCAAGAAATTGGTATGCGTTTCGGTGTAACCGGCGCCATAAAACAAGCAACCAGCGTCATTGTCCAGGTAACAATGGACTTGAGAAAAATATGCCCCTTATTCTCGGACTTCTTCTTGCTCATTTGATTTTTTATTTTTCTTTCTTTTTGTTCATTCGAATTTAGTGCCATAACTAGGAAATGGTTGTCTTTTCTTTTCAATCTGATTTCAGAATGACGAAGTACATGATATTCTGGACTACTGAATGGTATGGAGTAAATTTTTAGTTTCTATTCAAGAGTTTGTGTCCATGCTATTGGACGCACCATTATTTGACTCACTTTTTTGCATGAGCTGTAAATTGAGTCTTAGTTCCTTCTCTTAAGATCTTCATTTTCTTTCTTCCTTTTTTTCCCTTTTCTTTTTAGTAAGAAAAGTGGAGTTTCCTGATAAAATTTTAAAATGTAGAAAATTGAAGATTTTGAGTTTTGGAAGGTAGGTAATAAATATGAAAAAAATAAAATCTATAAAAGGTCCTGTCAATTGGGGAAGGAACATGATATTGTTGGAACCCTAATTAAAGAAACAAATAATGCCCTTTGGAAGGTAGGTATGTCTAGATAAGATCCCTTCTTTCCCGAATTTGGAATCCCCAAGAGTGTGCGATATTTGAGCGTCACATTATGTGCGGACTTGTTATGATCAAACAAGAATTTTTGGAAGTTGTGAACCCATAAATATGTTTAGGAGAGACTCCTTGCTTTAAGAAGGTGGTATCATCAGAACTAGTTCCTTTAAAATCTGCAAAGCTATCTCTTTCTTGATTCTCTGAATTGTTTAAGTTTATATGGAGTATGATTATGCTTGGATTTCTAATGGAACTCCACAAAATGTTGCGTTTGATTGCAGTTTGGCCTTTGAAAATGACTGTGTTACAGTTATTAATGAAACTTGTGGCCAATGAGGTTAATTTATTTTCTTAAAGGTACTCTCAACAAAGCCTGTGGTGACCAGACATGAATTTCTTCAATTCTTTTCTACTACACTTCAATGGATAAGCTTGAAGAACACCTTATCTCTACAGAAACTTTTCCAAGCCAAATATCAGGTTCTGCCAAGGGGGACAGAAAGAGAATTGTAATTCAAGCAGAGTGAAAGCCCATAATCCTTGATGAAATCCAGAGAAATTGAAAGGACTGGTTACCTTGAGGCGCACAACCCTCCTTATGGCCAATACTAGTCCTGGCATAAGACACTTCACGTCTGTTATATCATGTTTTAGGGAGTATACCTGGAGTTCACAGTCAGTAACATTCAGATAAGGTTATATGCACTGTTCAAATTTTTCAGGAAGCAGAACCCAAAAAACCTACCTCCCCTGGACCAGAGAAATGAACCGTTGTACTGGATGGAAGCCCTGGAAGAACCAAGCTGTGCACACGGATCCCATCCTCTCCCAGAACTTGCCCCCTTGCCTTAGTGGACAAGAGCAAGAATGAGCTTATCTCATAATGGTAAAACCAGAAACAGTATTGTCTTCATTACTCTTTAAATTGATGGGGGTGAATGAGTGATGCCTGTTATACCGATAATATTCCTTGCTCATGAAAATCTAGCCTTAATTACCTTATACTTTTTTATCATTTTCAACTTTGGAAGTAATAAACTACTGATTTTGTAGAGTAGTTGTCTGTAGATAAGGCCATTGAATTTATGTGGTCAAATACAGTGCCCATATGTTTCAGTAAGGGTCTCATCTTACCAAAATGTTTGTTGAAATATCTTCTCTGTTGTAGATCTGGCCAAGGTTAGAGAGATTGTTGGCAATTTGTATTGCATCAGGTGACGGAAGATCCTGTTCATGAATGTGCAAGTTAGTAACCTGGAAAAGCAGTTTGCCAAGAGTAGGGATAAATCAAAAGGCGGCCAATGTCTTGATGACTAGAAAACATTGATCTAATTGAGAAGACAGAATGCTGAACGCGGCCTACCCAATTTAAAAAAGCAAAGTTGAATAAAATATATGAGCTACTTGAGTTGATTCTTCTCAAGCTGACTTGATCAAACCTCATTACTCATTAATGCTATTATAAATCTCTGGTACTTTTCCCAGCATTCATTCTCTTAGATAACTTCTACAGTATTTGTTATCGATGTTGCATATCAAACGCTGATATTGAAATATGGGAACAGTATCGACTTTGGAAATCAATCTACTGACTTTTCAGTTCAATTTCTAGTGAAGTTCTTACATTTCTGGATTCTGGTTTAACTTACTGATGCATTTGGTCTTGACTCTACAATTTCTACGTTGTTGTAATGGAAGGACGCCGAAATGGCCGCTTGCTGGAGCAGTATAGATCCAATGGACAATGTTGGGGCGATCAGACAGCCCTGAATTGGACGAAACAAATAAAACACATACAAAAGTTTAACGCAAAAGACACAATTCAAAAAATAAAATAAAAAAAAAACAGACAAGGAAAAATAAAACGAAACAAATCCTCACCCCGAGCTAGCTCACCATGCTGGCCTTCTCGCAGAATGAAGATAGTGCCGTAATAGTATCTAGATTAATCCGAGGCACATAAACTACACTCCTCATGCCAAAGGCTGTAGCCTGCAAGATAAAAGAACAGAGATGAGAGAACAGTTGAAAACGAGAGAAGAAATTTCAGAGGGGTGAGTCCGGAAAGAGGCCACACCTGTTTGACATTTTCATAGACGGTTGATGGTTCAGTGAAATCGACAACAACTCCATTTGCTTTTGACTGCAAAAGACTCCCTTAAACGTGTTGTTTGAGAGAGAGCAAAACATACAACACAAAAGAGGAAGAAAGAAAAAACAGAAGAGAGGAAAGAGAGAGCGCTGGAAGTAGGAGATTACCTGAGATATGGAACCCAGAACCATGGTGAGATCATTTATTATTGGCACCTCCAGAGGCTCCTCCATGTTACATACCTACCCAAGAAATTCCTCCTGTTAATTGACCATGACTGTGATTCCAATTTCCAGAAACCTTTTAACAAGTGAAAAAGTAAAATGAGAAAGAAAAGATAAAGAGGCAACCTTTCCAACATCTTCTCCTACAAGTTGGGAATCCACAGCACCGGCTATTTCCATTCCTCTGGCTTTGGTCACTGCAACTATTGCAGCCTTCCCTATTTCCTTGGTTGCACCATTGATGACTACCTTTTCTCCACAGGGCAACAACGATCAACGAAAAAGGAATAGACCACCTTAGACTTTGTCCCCATAAGAGAGAAACTGGAGAAGTAAAAGATGTGTGAATGTACCTTGATATTGTTTTGGGAGGGTTGGACTGAACATGATATGGGAGACTTGGGTTTGAGCCTGTGGATTCTCTTGTAGTTAGTGGGCTGAAATGGTGGGCACCTCAGGGCTGCTGCCATGGTACCTCAGTTGCTCAGAGCTCTCTCTCTCTCTCTCGGTAACGGTAAGGCGGGCTAACCTTGGAATTTGGATGCAAACGCAGGAAGAGGGAAGATGGCATGGAAGATTTTTATTGCTAACTTAAGATAAGGAGGTGTGGATAAGGCATTGTTTGATTTCACTTTTAAAAAATACTTATTTTAATAATTGGAGTCACACATTAAGTGATTATATGTGTTTTAGTAAAAAAGTGAAGAAAAAGTATTTTTTTTTTGTAAAAGCACTTATTAAAAAAGTGACCTCAAGGTTGTTTTTTTTTAGCACTTCTTAGAGAAGTGCTTCTTCCAATCGAATGGGACAAACCAGTCTCTGTTAAAATTTTAATACCTAAAATACCCCCATGTGAGGATTTTCTTCCCTCTCCTCCCATTCGAACACAACAACCCAGGGAGTGGCACCTTCAGTTGTAGGTCCACCGACGACGATCAAAGGTGAGGGAAAATGGCTGACAGACTTGTCGTTTTGCCCTTTTCTGTGTTGTTGTGTTCGTAGATCTGTAAAAGAAGCTATGTATAGTCAATATTATCCTATTTTTATTTTTTGTTGATTTATATGTATAGTTAATATTATCCTTTTTTTTTTTGAATAACCCAAATTTTAATATGTATAAAAATTGGTGGTGTTTTTAGTCATCCTATTTTATTTTATTTTTTTTAATTTGATATTGGTGGTGGTTTTTTTATTTCTTGAATAATCTGAATTTCCAATTATTGATTTATATGTATAGTCAATATTATCCTATTTTTATTTTTTTGTTGATTTATATGTATAGTTAATATTATCCTATTTTATTTTTTGAATAATCCGAATACTAATATGTATAATAAATTGTATCCTACTTTATTTATTTTTTTAATTCTGATTGGTATTGGTTATCCTTTTAACGTTTTCTTTTGAATAATCCAAATTTTCATTTGTTGATTTATATGTACAGTTAATATTATCCTATTTAATTTTTTTGAATAATCTGAATATTAATATGTATAATAATTAAATTGGTGGTGATTTTAGTCATCCTATTTTATTTTTTAATTTGATATTGGTTGTGTTTTCTATTTTCTTGAATAATCTGAATTCCCAATTATTGATTTATATGTATAGTCAATATTATCCTAATTTTATTTTTTTGTTAATTTTTATGTATAGTTAATGTTATCCTGTTTTATTTTTTGAATAATCTGAATATTAATATGTATAATAAATTGTATCCTATTTTTTTTAATTCTCATTGGTATTGGTTATCTTTTTTATGTTTTTATTGGGATAATTCGAATTTTCATTTGTTGATTTATATGTATAGTAATATTATCCTTTTTTTTTGAATAATCTGAATATTAATATGTATAATAAATTGATGGTGTTTTAGTCATCCTATTTTATTTTTTTTATAATTTGATGTTGTTTTTTTTTTTATTTTCTTCAATAATCTGAATTTCCAATTATTAATTTATATGTATAGTTAATATTATCCTATGTTATTTTTTGAATAATCCAAATATTGATATGTATAATAAATTGTATCCTACTTTATTTATTTTTAATTCTCATTGGTATTGGTTATCTTTTTTATGTTTTTTAAAATAATCTGAATTTTCATTTGTTGATTTATTATTTATAACTTGTAGGTTATGACAAGTAGTCAAGGGAAAAATGGGGGAGCTCCCAAGCTACGTGAACTCCCGAACTACACAAAATTTGGGTGAACATATGCTTGCAACAAGTGATTGCTGGCCACTAAACCAATACTACACTAGATAGACAAGGATGGGCAAATTTGATTCAGGAGTTCAATAGGATAATGGGGAAAAACTACACCCAGAAACAAATGAAGAATCAATGGGATTTAGTGAAGAATGAGTTGAAGATATTCAATAAACTATCAACTTATACTGGTTCAAGTTGGGATCTAGTGAACGAAACATTCACTTCTAGGGCTGACTATTTGAAAGAATGTAGGTTAATAAAATAAATTTGTACGTTAATTAATTTGTTAAGCAAAACCTTACATAGTTTTGTCCTTGTGTGATAGACATACCTTGATGCAGCACAATTTAGACACAAAGGTCTTCCCTATGTAGTAGATTTGGACATCATATTTGGTGACACGGTTGCTTATGGTTACAATAGTTTGGCACCAAATGAGGGTGCACTAACGGAGGTGGTACCATTAACTCAATCGACTCTGGATGATGACCAAATGGATGAGGAATTATACCATGAGCCAGAGACACCCATTGATGCATTCGAAACAATACAGGAGGCTGGAATGGTCCCAATTAGCTCTCACTCACGTAGGGTTATCCCTAGAGACATAGGGGAGAGTAGCATCTCTACTAGGAGAAAGAAGACAACGGGTGCTATAAGGATTAGCAAGAATTTGGAAAGAATTGCTTCTACATTTGAGCCAACAATTGCTCATGGAGTTGGCAAGGACACGAGGCTAAGCTCTATAGAACAATGCATGAACCTCCTAAAGGAGATCCTTGATATTGAAAAAGTGAGTCATATATTCATATTTGCTAGTCTCTAGTTCATGAAGGGTGAATTCCGTGACTTATTTATTGCGATCGGGTCTCCTACCTTGCGATTGAAGATGATTATAGAGTTATACGAATGTCTTGATAGAGTGTGAAACCTGTTTGCACCAATCAGTGTTTTGTTTTTGTCGTATAGACTTTAGAATGTAAGTACTCTTTATTTTGATTGCACTGTGTTAGGATTATTATCGGTGGACTTGATTTACATTTTAATATTAATTAAGTGTGTGGTTTTTACTTTTTTTGCATTTATGCCTTCCATTCTATGATTATAAGTTTTGATTGTGTTTACTAAATTGCATGACAATGTAAGAGATGGCTACTAATAAGGAAACTAAAATGAATATTGAGGTAGTATCAAATGTCGAGTTAGGTTCCGATAGTAGCTTACCTTTCAATGGGGTGATGGACACCGATGAGGAGTTTGAGTGCATTATAGAGGTTGCCTCTATGGTGAGTGAGCTTTACTATGATACGTGGGTTCACAAAGAACCCAAACACACCATGGACTACACTGGAGTTATGTACACACAATCTCTCCTCGAAGGGAACGATGACCAACTGTATGAATTTTGCCATATGGACAAGCATGTGTTTATACGATTGTGCAATACATTGAAAGAATGTGGCCTCATTGCAAATAGTCAGGATGTTTCGGTGGAGGAACAACTAGCCAATTTCCTTCATGGTGTTGGATATAATGAGAAGAATCGGATGATGCAAGAATGGTTCCAACATTCAAACAAGACGATTAGTCATTTTTTCAACGACATGTTGGCGGTGGTAGTAAAACTATCATTGTCAATAATACTATTCATCCACACATCTACTAGAATCCAAAATAATGGCCATATTTCAAGGTAACATTCACACATTATGAGCCCATTTTAAAACTACATCATAAATGGACACTAAAAGTTGTAAGGGTTTTTTTGATAGAATTTCATAGGGGCTATTGATGGGACACACATATCTGCATGGGTCCTAATAACTCTGTAGTTTGATGCCTTAAGGGCATCATTTCAAGGGTATTTTTGGCCTTAGAATAGTCAAAATGTCCCTTTTCCCAGTTAAATTCAATATTGTGTCCTCTAAGGGTCTCTATGCAAATCTTGGGGAAAACTGGGGAGTTTTAAGGTTGAAATGTAGTTTTTGGGAAGCTGGTGTGAAGTCTAGCTGAGAGAGGGGGTGTTTTTGTGAAAAACTAAGCATAGGAGGGTGCCTCCTATCTGCTAAACCCAGAATGGCGCCCCTCCTATTGTATTAGTATACTCCCCTCTCTTTAGAAAACCCTAGGGCGCCTCTCCACTCATTATTTTCATCCTTAACAAACCCTAGCCGCCCCTAACTACTAAATCCTCTCCTTCCGTCCCTTCTAATCTCCACCATCCATTGTAGGACACTCTCTTTTTAGCATTCTAATCCTAGGGAGCCACCTAATTTCTAATCTTTACCATTCAACCTTTAGCCATTAAATCTCAGCCCTAAATAATATTGGGTGCCCTCTTCTTTTCTTTTCAGCCTTAGGATTACCTTAGAACCATCATAACCCTCCATTCTCAACCCTAGGGCACCCATATTTCTGTAAAAACTCAACTGTCGCCCCCTCTTTCTCTCTAATCCCAGTTATGTCCACCCTTGTCTATAAAAAGTACCCCAGGTGCCCTGGAGAAAGGGTTGGCCAATTCACCCAGTTCACAAGGCTAAGGTTTCTTGAGAAGTTCAAGGGTTGTAGAAGGGAAGGACGCCCAGTTTTTGTCAGGAGGGGTTCCTGCAAACTGTCTAACCAATCTGCAGCTACCGCCACTAGATTTGATCAACCATCCTTTTATTTTCTTTATTTTATTTTCTATTATTTTTTATTCCAACACTCTTTTAGATTTAATTTCCGTTCATTTTTGTGCTTTACAGATCTGAATTCGTTCTGTTCAAAGCTAAGGTGTCTCAAGGGGTTCGAGGGCTGAAGAAGGGAAGGACGCCCAGTTCTTGTAAGGAGGGGTTCCTGTAAGCCGTCTAGCCAATCTGCATCTACCGCCACTGGATCTGAATTTTGGATCACTTTTGTTTTTTTTTTTTTGTTGATTTTAGTACTCCTTTAATTTCTGAATTTTAATTATTGTCTTGTTTAATTTCGAACATTTAATTTCAGCATTAATAGATTTTATTTTCTTATGTTCTACAATTCCCAGTTCCATTTTCTTTTTATTTGTTCGGAACGAGAAAATAATAATTTTTCCCTCACTTCCCTGTGGGTTCGATCCCTTCCTCACCATGTACTACGTTGTTTAAGGTTATGTGAGGATTGGAAAAATTTATAAATTATTAAACTGGTGTTTCGAAGAGGTCCAAAGACCATTGCAGTCCTGTGATGGATTTAAACTCGTCGCAAGTCTGCATGGGTCCAAAGTTCATCGCAACCTATTTCGGCTATGAGTTCATCACATATGTGTGATGAGTTATGAACTCATCGCAGATGTGCAATGAGTTATGGACTCATTACCGGCAT